TTATGTCTTCCGAGACATCTCAAAGCGGGTCACAGAATATAGTGTAAGAGACTGTAGTCTCTCATGTGCCAATATATATATGTAATTGCAAGCTGTAGCAATGAATGACGTGATTGATATCTCTTCAGGTTCTTCTGCTCCAAGAGAAGATGCTTGTGCTTTCACGTACTTGAGGCAGGCAAGGTCGAGAGATGGGACTGAACACAAATTATTATAGAGTTGATGGGAAGAAACTTTGGATTATCTGTCTGGAGAAGTTTATTTGCACATTCTTAGGGTCATTAGCAAGGTGTAAATGGAGATCAATATACTAATTCTGCTACTCGTGTGAAGATTTGTTCTCAAGCCTGCTGTGATTCTGCATCAATCACTTCATTAGAAGCTATATTGATGTTGGATCACCATCTAAAGTCTCCACATAATTTGCTCTCCAGAGCATCAGCATACCATGCAGGGTTTCCCCCTTTTCAGTCATGTTTATATATATAGCACATTTCATGCCAGGGGGATGTCCCAAGCACTATTGCTACTCAGAAAAGCTTCCAATGCCAAGTGAAGGAAACAAATCATTGCATTGGTTTGCAGTGGTTCGGTGTGTGATAACCTCAAACTGCACCGAGGTTAGATGGGATAGAAAGCGAGATTGAGAAAGTCTGATGTACTGTGGTTGGAAGGGAAGAATACATTTCAGGGTACAGTTTGTGGGGCTACTCCATCACAGATCCTCAGATTACGTTTGAAAAGGGAATTAATTTCTCATCTGATTGTTACACTTGTTTTGGAAATATGAAAAAATGTTGCTCCTGTAAGCACCTGATATATAAGTGAGTTGTGATGGTCTCTTGTTTGAATTAGAGCACATGTAGCTTGCCTTTCACTGTGGTTGGAAAAATACTGAAAAGGCATTATTCGAAAAATGTCTGTAATGTAAATTAGGTTTACTCGCGGGAATTCCCTTTGTTAATCATGCTGACATGCGACACTTTGCATTCAAATATATCTTTGGTCGGACTGGATGTCTCCTGAGTCAGCTTGACATAAAGCAACTCCCTGAACAAAACTCAGGTTGATATCACAAGAGCCTTTTTGATGGCTATGTTGCTCAACCTCTTTTTCAACCCCATTGTCAAGTATTCTCTTTGCTTCTGGCAAGAGTGGGAAGGTCATCTTCAAAGAGTTTAACGTCACAAACCTATTTTTAGTTTCAAAGAGATTAGAAACAGACAGGCATAAACCTAGATTTCCATTTGCAGTAGGTTTTCTTTCCCTTTTTGTTGAAACAAAATGTGATTTAAATTAATGCAATTCAGTAGAGATTTGTAAAAATTGAAAAATCAATGGTATTAAAGTAATGACTGGTGCTTGCCAGAGCTTGGCACGGTTTGGGTATTTAAATGGTCAAAAATAGTCAGTGAAAGATATAAATTATTTAGCTGTTTCAACACTTGCCTATTAATCCTTTGAGTCCTAAAGCTGTGATCACGCATCTCTGTGGAGGTGAGTACTGATTTATCAGGTTGGATTTGAGGCAATGCAAATCACTGTGCCACTGTCCAAAATAGATATGGGAGATGGAAGAAAGAATGAAATTATTTTATACAGAAATTAGAAATAATTAAATTAGATCTTTTTTGCTGCATTGAATGATCCAGGACAGTTCAGTGGAAGAAGTATAACTGGCCATAATGTCTCCAGGCTTGCAACAGCAGGGAGGGAGAATGTTATTTAGAGGTTGTGCTTTTGATGAAAGTATGCACACAAGGACATAGGTGAGGACACGGTTGGATTCAGCTGCTTTGGAAACTGTAGCTGAATGTGCACTGACTCCTTTGGCTCAAACCTAAAAAGAAATTTGAGGGGCACAAATAAGTGTTCCAGTGTCGGTGAACTGAACTTACAAAAATCGCCACCTTCAGTAAGAAACAAGGGAAGTAGCTTGATGAAAAGACTTCAGAATCCCTTTCCCAAGAACTATATGGTTAAGCCTTTGTATCAATCTGAGCCCTGGGGTCCAAGTCCCAGCTGTGATTAGATTTTGTATCATTGATCTTGATGGTGATGACTTCAATCAGCTGGTCCACAGTGGGGCACGGCTGACGAAAGCAAAGGATTACACAGTTAAAAACTAGCACTGTCCATCTTTCTCCACAACAAGCACATCAGCATTGTTGTGGATCACACACTAACAGCAATCATTTCTTTTCAGAAGGTGGAGTAGGCACATTAGCAACTCAGTGCCTCACCTTTTGGCAGCAATATTTCTGTGTCTCAAAGGAGCCCATTCAGTTTAGCTGAGAGATGGAAAAATGTTTCAGCATTTGTTTGAGACTGTGCAGAAAGTGCAGGAAAACATATAAAGAACATTGTAGGAAATAAGGTGGCAGAAAACTGAAAGATTGATTTAAGCAATCAAGCTTCAATGTCAGTGGGTGTGCTTTCATCATTGCAGCAAAGGAAAGCGGCAGAGAATACGTCAAGCTGATTCTTGAAAAAAAGCAGTGTCTAAAAATTATGCAGATTATAAATTGAGATGCTCACTAATAATAACAAATTAACCACCACCTCTATGGAATCTAGGTTTTCCGTATCTGGAATTTTAATGCAGCACCAATTTGCTGCTTTGAATAAACTTACATTCATCCCTTGAGGAGAGAGAAAAAGCATCAGTATTCTTAGAGCATTGCTGGGTAGTGATATATTCTTCCTACATTGCCAGTTGTCCAGGTGCTGTCTGACTTGGTGTGGTAATTTTGGATGAATAAATGCTGCAATTCTAATTTATTCGCTAGTGGAGGTAATGGTCAGTCAGGTGTAAAGTTTTGAGTTGTGCTTGCTGCACTCTATAGTGTTAGTTTCATCTAAGGTCTGCTTCACTGAATACTTTTTATCACCAAATCTGGTAATCATTGGGTGACCTGAGTTAATTTAATTACTGCAGGACACCCAATCAATTGGCTCTCCAAGTCCTCGGGCAGAACAACATCAATCTAATTTCACCAGCAATGATGTGCAAATAAATAGACACTTCAAGGACTCATCGGCTTTGATGGTTGCCAGAACAAGTTGATTCTGTTAGCTGTCGCCAAATTTTTTCATCACCCATCCAGTTATTGGAAAGGATTGATGTCTCTTCTTTGCTGAACTTGGTTGGAGTGGTGTGCAGGTTTCCACAGTTCGATCCTTCAGCGTATAATGCCATCATTTCCTTTGGGAGCTCCATTATGATGCCGTTTCAGCAAATGTGTTATGGCTAGTAATATGGAACTTACAGCTGCTTCATAGTCCAGTCCTTCCTTGCCATTTTTGTTGCCTTTAGACTGTCCTGGAGATTGCCTTACATTGTGGAGTCTCTATAAATAACTCTTAATTCTTCCATATGGGCTTTAGTCTGTCTAATGTTGATTATAATGTGGAGTGTTGAACCTCAAAGTCTGTAAATACCAGATTACTCGGTGACATTCTCGTCTCTAAGTCAAAAGTTGCGTGTTCATAATCTCATAATCTGGCTAACACTGCATTTGCAATCCTGAGACAGTGCTGCAATGTTAGAGGTGTTATCCTTGCATGAGACATCAAACTAATGGTTTGCTTGCCTATTATGTTGGTTCATGTGGATGTTAAAGATTTCATGGGACTAAAGCCCATCCAGGTATAGCATAGGTCTCCTTATGGTGCGGTGACATTGTGGATTTGCAGATTACCAGAACTTCAGTTTTTTTTTACAAAGTGCATCCCATTATAACACAAGATCTGCGTTTACGACCCAAATCGCCGTGTCCGCCTGAATTTTGATTAAAAAGTAGTAATTTCTCCTGGTGTTCTTCCCTCATCCAAATATACCAAAAAACATGATATAGTCCATTTGTTGCATGTAGTTTATTGCTCTTACAGTGGGGATTGCTTTGTTGCTCTCCTCTGGACTGCCTTTAGCTTCTGGGCAACCTCCTTATGTTTCATCAACCATAACTGTATACAGTACTGCAGGGACAGCCTGACCAGAGCACTATATGGCATGACTTCCAGGGACCTGAACTGGTCTGATTTGGCAATAGAGCTCTATATCCTGTTAACCTTGTTTATTGACACCTAACACTTTTTTGACATGGTCAGCGATGAGTCAACTTACATCCTAGATGTCTGCCAGCTTCCCTCTTGGCAAGTTCTATCCCATCCATGGTTTACATGTGTATCCTATTCTTATTTCCTATATGTACTACCTTGGATTCTTTTATAGTGATTGAAGCGGTCTGAGACGCTGCCCTGCGTGGAGGGTGCTATATAAGTCCAAGTTGCTGTTGTTCTTGTTCTTCAATTGTTTGTTATTCCTTGTTAATTTTTTTTCATAGTTGCAGGCTTCATAGTTCAACGGCGGATTGCTTTCTGGGGGTAATAATCCCTCCAAAAAACAAAAAATAATTTGGTCACTCATACCACGACTGTTTGTGGGACACTGCTGCGCGCAATTGGCTGCTGTGTTTCTCCCACAAAGTTTACAGTCAATTCACTTTACAGTATATTCTGTGAAGCGCTTTGAGAATTTTCGATGATGTGTTAAGGTACTATATCAAATGCAAGGATTATTATTATTAACATCCATTCTATTCAACCCAAAACTTAAGGGGCTCTTAATTGGGTCAGTTTTATTTGAAATTTGGTGTCATGGAATGAAGGTTCTCTGTTGATATTACTTCTGGTCCAGTACAAATACTAGCCTCGCATTTTGCCTTTGTTCCAATACAAATACTTCCTGCATTTACAACCTGTATCAATATTTTCTTCCAAGTATGTCAAAGTGCATTCTACCACTGCAGCTGAAAATGTCATGACTAAGCATACATGTTTGTATTGTAATCTTGTAAGAGATATATTAGTTATTAGTAGAATGCATTGTACCTGAGGTTCATACATTTCTTTCACAAATACTTGTCTGTGCAATACTTGCAAGAAAAATATTAATACAATATTTTTACATTTACGGCTATGTTCTTTCTCTTTTTCAGTCCGGCTCCATGACAGCATATCTGAGGAGGGATGCCATTATCTAGTGTTTGATCTGTAAGTCTGTTTTTCCAGCTCTCTATTATATCACTGCCTCTTTACAGCTTAATAAAGTCAAACCATTTGTACTATAGGATAGAATCAAAGAATAGTGGAGCGCATAAACAAGTCATTTGGCCCATCAGGTCACTGGTTGTTTTTTTTTCTCCATGTGCTTCACCTAGTCCAGTCATCTAGACCACCCTCACTCTTTAAGACTCTTAGTTTTATGGGCTCTGCTTCAATGGCGGTTTTGTGACAGGGAATTCCTCACTCTAAGCCCTCTCTGTTGAAAGAAACACGTTTCTACCTCACCATTACTTCCTTTTGGGACTGTCTTGAATTTGAGCCCTCATAAGTTTATCATTGTTTTTGACTTTTTTTTAAAAAAAGGTTTGATTCAGTTATTTTTAGATGATGTAGGTTTATTAAAGTAAATGCGACCAACATTGATATCAAACGGGTGGTGTTTGGTATTCAAATACCCGTCAGTTCTTCCACAGTAACACATATGGTTGCATATAGACAATCCGCCCACACACAGATGTCCATTTTTCTGTGGCTGCACAGAGTATGCAGGATTCACCTAACAAGTATGCATTTTTGGCATTCAATTCTGACAGCATCTAATCTCGTGTGAAGTATTCAATAGTATTCTGCTATAAATGCTTCTCAGCAGCTTGGGTCTGATTTATTATTTTAAGCTTCATTTGTGTGGAAATTGTAAATTGGAAAGTTTCTATTGATTCACAGAGACATCAAGTCAGGCAAAGGTACTTGAGCATGACTTGAGAACTGTTCCATCAGCGTAGAGTTTGTTGCGGAACAACTTGATATTAATCCTGTTGTATGTAAACTATTTTAACAAAACCAAGTGTGGAACAAACAAAGGACCATCTGGCTCTTCAGGCTCTGCCTTCCACATCCTGTTTTGGATGCTTCAATCTTCTTAGGGAAAGTTATGCATAAATGCCTTCTATTTCCCAAAGAAAATATCCATTCATCCTTCCTCCCATTTGTACCGTGGTGCCCCATTCAGTATTGATCATTTCAGTCTATCCTTATCATTATAGTCACTGAGCCAGGGACGGATGAAATGTTTATCTGGCAGCTTTTTGAAGGTGTTAATTGGCATAGTGTCAGCTGTTTCTGCTGTGAATTAGTCACACACATCTGTTGGGGTTTTTTTTGGAGAGGGAGGCAGAAGGAAGGGTCAGAGGGAAGCTTATTCTCATATCTTGTTTCACATAAGACTTTTTCTTTTCAAGTCTGAATCTGTTAGTTCTTGCTCACAGTTCAAGTCTAATAGTATATTTGGTTCTGCTATAAATGTCTCTCAGCTGTTTGAAAGAGAGCTTTGCTTCAAATTGTCTTTCCTCAATTGCAAAAATAAAAACTTGTTGATTTTCTCTCTTAAGTTGCAGATCTAAGTACCCAGAATTATCTTTGTTCTTTATCTGAATTTTCTAACTCACAGCACCTTTTCAAGGCAGCTAAATGTGACCTCAACTATGGTTGGAATCATCTTTTTAAAAACTCCTTGCACTGGACGAAGCATCTTTCATGTCAGGAGGATGTCTCAAAGCCCATCAAAGCATTTATTGTAAAGTGTAACGACTGTACTTTGTAGGTGAATATGGGAGCCAATTTGTGCAAAGAAATGTCTTGAAAGCAGTCATGAGATTAATGACCAATTTTATTGGGCGGGAGTGAGATGTGGGGTGGTTGGTGCCTTGGACACCAGGAGAAACTCCCTTTCTTCGTCAAACAGTGTCATGAGATCCTTAACGTCCACCCGAACAGGTAGACAGGACCATCGGTGCAAGGATTATTATTATTATTATCTCATTGGAAAGATTGTAGCTCCAACAATGCAGTGGTTCCCCATGCACTGTATTGGAGGGTCAGCCTAGATTTTGAATAAAAAATTCTGATGTAGAGCTTGAACCCACAAACTTCTGACTCAGGGGCCAGAGTGCTGCTATCTAAGCCAAGCTGACACCATCTGTTTTGCAATTCAAATGACTTTGAAATATATTGGAGTATTTACATTTTTTTAAATTATGTCTAATGAGATGCTCATCTTGTTATTGACTCAAAGCATTTCACAGAGTTGGTTTGGCATGTTGTGACCATCAGTCAAAATTGGCCTATAATCTGTGCGAGAGGCTTGACCAGGAGAGTATGAGAAACTCACTTCTCTTTAACTTCCATCACACCTGAACAGTAATTTTGTGTTACAGAAAGATGGCATCTTCAATAGGTTCCCCCTAGTATTGCATTGATGTGTCAGCCTAAACTATGAGCTCCAGAGTCCTGCAGCTCAGTGGTTAAAGCACTCGCTTTGCAAGTGAGAGACCTGAGTTCAATTCCAGGCAGGGCGAAACCTTGGGCAAGTTTCCTTACTCCACACGCCTAATAATAATCCCTCCAAAAAAACAAAAACAATAATAAATTGGTCATTTTCAATCGGGACACTGCTGTGCGCAATTGGCTGCCGCGTTCGCCCACAAATATACAGTCAATTCACTTTACAGTCTATTCTGTGAAGCGCTTTGGGACGTCTAGAAGACATGAAAAGCGCTATATCAAATGCAAGGATTATTATTATTATAAATATTATCCAACCTGTAAAGTGAGCTAACCTGGCACAAAGTGTTGATTATTCTCCGAGACACTTAACCATATAATATGATTATGCTTGGCATTTTATAATTATAATTTGTGGTCAAAACTGAGGAAAGCTTTGCTTTGTGATGAGTTAGCCAGCGCAGATAAGAATTTTGCAATTGACTAGCTACTTTGATTCAGGTATCTGGGCATTTGGTGAGCTTGGGACATCTTGCCGACATGAAAGGCGTTCTATGAATATGACTGATGGCTGAGAAAGGGTTAATGCCATCTCTACATTCTCAGATCTATTCACATGAACTGCTTTACACAATCGAGCTGGCTTGAATTTCACTTCAGTGGAGCTGTTGACAATCATGTTGCATGCGCTGTCACACTCAGAATTTGGTGCATTAACGGCAGCTTGTTACCCAGCAAGCAGTGGACAACCTGCTTTGCAGTAGCTCAAGCACATGCTGCTTCTTCGGACAGCACTGCTTGATGTGCAGGTCCCCATTCTTTCATAAACTGGGACACTGGCACGGTTGTGTTAGTTAAGGAAGTCTCTCTCTCCCTCCCCACATTCGAAGCCTGCTTGAACACTTACCTCTTTGTCCATGCTTTGGGTCATCTTTCCCCTCACCCACCTCTTCCAGCTCCTCCCCCACATCTATGGTGCCTGACCAGCAGTGAGAAGTAGTTTGAGATATCCTCCTGACATGAAAAACACTATATAAACGTAAATAATATTGCATTAAGTACTGATTGATGGAACTGTTGATCAAAGTGGGCTCAGACCTTGGTGGCTGAAGACGTTTTGTGAATGACTCACCAGCTTTGGATCACGCTGTTGTATAGATCAGTCTATCGATGACCACACACATCCTGAGGTGATGCCCTATTGTTACTATGCTTCTCATTAAGCACTGAAGCTTGAAAATGCAAAAAAAAACAAAGCAGGCATGTTCCCACAGGCATTCCACTGCCTATAAACAAGTCTCGGTGTGTGCTTCATTTCTGCCAAGATTTATAAATCGCATCATTCGTCCTTTGCTTTGGCAGCTGAGTCCCTTTTCACTGGGAATCGAGCTATTTGCAAAACAAAATTAAAAAATGATTACACCCTGAAGGAATTATACCGTTCATTTGAGACTGAAGCTGAATATTCATTCATCCTTTGGGGTGTTCCACATATTTATTCTGGATTTTCTAGTTTGTTTTTCAATAAAAAAAATGAAAATGTGGCTCTACGCATGAATATGGATTTGTAATTTTGTTATGATTCTGAATCAGACTCCAGATTAACAGTCATAAACAGTCTTGATTTATCATGCTTCATTTGGATTTTGATATTTGGATTACAGAAGTAATGAAGAAAATTGAAAATTACTTGAAAATTACAGTTTATGATGCTTATTGCTCAAAAATATAGCTGAGATCCAATGTCTTGATGAATTGTGGGTTACACAGAACAAAAATGGCCAGAAATGTACATTCATTCCTGAATGTGATTCCTGATCATTCATATCAAATCATTGATGTGAAAGGCGTTATATCAAATGCAAGAATTATTATTATTTTATTATTATCAAGTGATATTTGCTCCTGTTGCACGCACAATTATAAATACTTATTTTCAAAAGATATTAATTTTTAAAAATGGTGTGCTATTTGAAGACTGCTGCACTATGCACATGGCAAATATGTGTTTTTTGCTGCTCCAAAGTATGCTGGGGTTCCAAAGCCTTGGCTCTTGCCAACCTGTGCCTAATACCCTCCGGAAATGGTTAAGCAGGATGCGTCCCTCTGGGGAAAGAGTGTGCATTCCATTCCAACAAATATCTCTGGAGCTTCCATATAGAGGTGGGATTCATGGAACTCTGTTTGGTTTGAATACTCTTAAGCATGGGGATAGGTTTTCACATGTTAAAAACGTGGCTGACCAAAGAAAATGCCACCTTTCACGTCAGGAGGGAATTTAGTGTAAAATCAAATAAAGGCAAACACTGCTGCTGGTTTTACACAGCCGTATTCTATAAACACAGATGAAGTGAATGACCAACTTTATTTGAGTGATTGTTGGTCAGAACACTATGAAAAATTCCATTCTGCTTTCGAATAGGATCTTTAACATAAACTTGAACAGGCAAAAGTGAACTTGGTTTAACACCTCATGTAAAGATGGCACCTCCAACAATGTAGTGCTTATCCAGCACTGTAGTCAGGTATCAACCTGGACTATGAAAGTTAAAGTCCTGATGTAGAGCTTGAACCTACAACTTTCCAAGGTTGGGTTGGTATGGTGTGCAACTAACTTGTTAGGGTAACTTTTACAAAAACAAAACCATATTGGATCCAAGCCAGAGATTTTAAGCTTTGTGATAGACAAAATGTGATGCAAGTCAAAC